AGACCTGGAAACGGAATCTGAGATGCTGGCTCTTAAAATCCAACTAAATCCTACTTGTAGTATTTTTCTCTCGGTGTTTTACAGACCTCCTAATGCAGATGAATAATTTCTGGCTGATTTTAGATATTTTTTTATTAAATATTCAGGCACGGGTTTGACAAACTTAGTGGTCACAGGAGAGGAGTTCAACTTTCCTTACATCAACTGGAACCTCGGATGCCCCATTGTGTCCGACCCTGAAACTGTGGAGTTCTGTAATGTCCTGGGTGATTTCTTTCTTCTTCAGAAGAACCATCATGAGACCCGTGATACTAGTAATCCTAGCACCAATGGGAATATTCTTGATCTTGTGCTTACCAATAATGAGTATCTTATCAAATACGTCTTAGTGCATACTAATGCCTTTGACTCTGATCATCACCCTCTAACCCTCTCAAGTTACATGTTAAGAAAACAAGGCCAAAAAATGCTCGACGTAAAGTTTATTAAACGGCTCCAAATAAACCCGGCCTCAGGCCCTCTTTTCACTACTGCTTAAGTAGTGTTCATAACTGCGAAGATCGCTTTCATATTCACGTAAAGTTTATTGTTACAGAAGAGGAGATTTTAAAGGTTTGCAAGAGACATTAAGAGCTCTACCTTGGGACCTGGTAACATCAGATACTAGTATTGACACCAGCTTAGAGAAATTCCAGGACATGTTGTTTTGTGCTATTGACCAGGGCATACCACAAAGAACTCTGAAACGGCGTTCTAGGCTTCCCTGTATTGATATCGAAATTATGAAATTGATTAGAAAGAAGAAGAAACTTTGGAAACTTTTGAAAACTAATGGATCAGTCTTTATCTGAAAAACTCCAAGAAAATCCTAAGCATATCTAATCATTCTATTCTAATAATTCTAAGACCAAACGAATTCCGGAAACTGTTATTTATGGAGACACTTGGTCTAGAGACGTGAATTCTAAGGTGGAACTATTCAATGTGTTTTTTCAATCTGTCTACTCTAAATCAACAACTGATGTCAATCTGGCCACATATGTTGTTAACCCAAACTTGTTATTTGAAACTATAACAACAGATCCAGAGCTTGAAGGAATCTTGAGTAGGATCAATATAAAAAAGGCACTTGGTGTGGATAACTTACCTGCTCGTATTTTACGTACTTGTGCAAAAGAGCCCTCTTACCCATTTGCTTATTTATTTAATTTATCGCTGAGGACAGAGAAAATACCCACCTTATGGAAATCAGCCGATATTACCCCGATCCATAAGGGTGATAGTAAGGTGCCCGTAACCAACTACAGATCCATCTCTTTATTGCCAATCCAGGCCAAGTGCTTGGAGCGTATTGTACATTCTGCTATTTATGATCATATCTCACCATTTGTAACTGATTGGCAGCATGGTTTTGGTAAAGGTAGATCTTTTGAGACTCAACTGATTTTAACCCATCATGATTGGGCAAATGCCCTTGGCGAAGGAAGACAAGTTGATGTAGTCTTTTCAGACTTTTCCAAAGCCTTTGACAAAATAAATCACTCAGTTTTGTTGAAAAAGCTGTGCAACTTTGGGATTACAGGATCATTATTACTATAGTGTGAAAGTTATTTAACCAATTATCAACAGAGAGTTGTGCTGGATGGTAAATCCCCTTCCTGGTCTGATGTCTCATCTGGAGTCCCTCAGGGCTCTTTATTAGGGCCTTTATTTTTTGTCATATTTTATTAGTGACCTCCCTGAAGTTGTTCTACATGGCAGTACTATTGCCCTTTATGCGGATAACTGCAAATGTTCCAGGATCATTGACACGGCTGGCGATCTTGAATTATTTCAACAAGACCTGGATAATCTGCATCAATGGAATATTAGGAATTTCACGAACTTTAATGCTAAGAAATGCAAAATCACGAAAATTTCTAGGAAGGTTCAACCACTTACTTCTAGTTTCTTCCTGGAAAATTCTGGATTGGAAGAGGTTACAGAGTTTAAAGACTTAGGAATTATAACTTATCATCACTTAACATGGAACCCACACATTGATTACGTTGTATGCAAGGCCAACAGAATGCTTGGCTTATGTAAAAGAACTTGTAAAGGTCTAGCTGACCCTGTGACATTGCGTACTCCTTATTGCTCATTGGTTCGCTCAAACCTGGAATACAGTTCGGTGGTATGGTCTCCCTATACAAAAAGAAATATTGATAAGCTGGAAAGGGTATAGAGAAGAGCAACTAAATTTATCTTAAAGAGCGATGATCCCTATGACATTCGCTTGAAGAAGTTAAACCTCATGTCACTGGAGAAAAAAAGATTACTGACTGATGTGACATTCTTATATAAAGTAAATAATGGCAACATAGATATTGACGTCAGTAAAATTTTAGATTTCCACTCTGAAGCAGACCGCTTTTCACTTAGGTCTAAGGACTTTTTAACTTTAAAGAAGAAATATGCCAGAACTAATGTCTTGATGTATAGTTTTTTCGATCGAATAATTGACATGTGGAAACAATTACCTTTCGATATTCGTTATTCTGATAATGTAAATATTTTTAAGTCTAGAGTTGAGAAGTTTATTAGTGATTCTTAAGTATTTTTCCTTTTCATAAATGCAGTTCTTGAATTTATTATCTTCAGTGTATTTATATTAATCAATAGGTGATCTGTTTTTATTCTGATAATGTAAATATTTTTAAGTCAAGAGTTAAGAAATTTATTAGTGATTCTTAAGTATTTTTCCTTTTCATAAATGCATTTCTTGAATTTATTATCTTTGGTGTTTTTATATTAGTTCATAGGTGATCTGTTTTTATGTGGGGTTTCGAACTCCTTTACAGATTATCCTTTGGCCTTTTTGACTATAGATTGTAATAAATAAGTTATTTCAGTTTTTGTTGCTAAACTACGCTTTCTTTCGCTTTATGACACCGAAAAGATGTTTCCGTTTGTTTTTCGCTAAATTTACGCTGTTTTCAGTTTTATCTCACTGAAGACTAAGTTTTCAGCCTCTATGCAGCTAAATTACGTCCCCTTTAGATTTATCTCACCGATCACGTTTTTTCGCTTGTTTGCCGTAGAATGAGCTGTTTTTAGCTTTATCGCACCCAAAAAACGTTTACTTGTGAATCTGGCTCAAATTCTTCGACTGCTTAAATAGTCAAAGAAGCAGACACAAATAGACTGCAAAAACTGGAAAATCTATTTTATTTGGTCGAAGTAAATCACATGGTCAAAGTAGCCTAAATAGTTATATGATACCCATTGATAATATAGCAGAACTTATCCCCTATCAGAATATGCTTACCGCAGGACAGATTAATAAACTAGGAGAAGGTATTAGGTTCGGAAGTCCTCTCTTTTGATTTTAGCTTTATTTCAGTCAAATCCAGGTTTTTGCTTTTTGTCGCTAAATGACGCTGTTTTCGTTTTTTTTTTTATCGAGAAACGTTTTCTCCTTGTTGTAGCTAATCACGCTAATTGAAACTGTATCTTACTGAAACCAACGTTTTTTCTTTCTTGCTTAATTACCCTGTTTTCAGCTTCATAGCACCAGAAACATGGACGATGGCTTAAAAGGATCAATCACAAATCAATTTACCGAAACACAAAACAGTTTCTCAAAACACAAACCAATTTCCCGAAACACAAATCAGTTTACCGAAACACAAAACAATTTCTCAAAACACAAACCAATTTTCTCGAAACACAAACGAAAAGACTGGGCACTTGCGCCGTGATTATCAGAGAGATCCTGGAAGAGACTCATTCCCATGATTTTCCGCTTCCATCATGGCGACTGTTACTCTGTTGTGGACGATTTAACGAAAATGTTCTGCTACAATTGTGGATCTGAAGTGCTAGAGGACTATTTGTATTACTCTCAGTGTGGAAAAAAGCTGGAAATTGCTGTGCCATCTTTTCGATTACTGCTGTCCTCCAAAAATGTAACGGAAAAAGGAAGCAATACAGGCTAACTTTAAGAATGGATTCAGCTACAACGTTATTCTATGCTTTCTTGAGAAGTATCATCGTTGTGTTGCGTTGTTGACGCTTAAAAGGAGGTTATCTGAATGCAATCTTAAAAGAAACAAAGCGGAGGTCGATTTGTCTGACGTGGAGAGATTGATACGAAACGAGCTGGATGGCCCAGGCAGCATTTCTGGTTACATAAGGATGTGGCATACATTGCATGTGAAGTATGGCTTGTATATTCCAAGGGTTGAGGTGGCATCCCTTTTAAGAGAGTTAGATCCAGCTGGAGTAGAACAGCGAAAAAGGCACAAGTTGAAAAGAAGAAAGTATAACTCACCTGGACCAAATTACTGCTGGCATGTGGATGGGAATGACAAATTAAAATATTTTGGCTTTCCAATTCCTGGTGCTATTGATGGCTATCGTCGCAAGGTATTACGACTTTATGTTGACAGGACTAACAATGATCCAAAGGTCATGGCCAAATATTTTGTAGACTGTGTTGAGGAGGGCTGCCCTTCGTTACTGAGAACAGATTGTGGAACTGAGAATGTAGTAATTGCAGGTGTACAGAGCTTTCTACGAGCAGAGTGTGATGATGATTTAGCCAGTGAAAAAGTACTTGATGGACTTCTCATTACCAGCAAAATATGAAAATATTATTTCAACATTTGTCACAATCATACCTAACATCAATAACGACATGCATTATACATTCATTTGATAAATAAAGGGCAAGAATGTCATCATTTAGCTAGAACACAATGTATACTATTTTAAGCATAACTTTATTAATGTATATTGAAACAACAGAACTGAACAGTCGGCTTTTTTTCAATCTAAATAAGAACTTTGTATTTAGCAAACACAATATCACTAAGGACGTTTTACAAGCACTTTAACTATGTGTAACAGCCTAGCATAATTCACACTTCACCAAAACTAGGTGAGCTGAACATGCGTTCTGTGAACTCATTCTTAAACGACTCATAATTGGCGAGCAAATCACAAACTGGAAAGTTTGACTAGGTGTTTGCTGTTAGTTTCCTATGGGGCTTATTGTGATCAAACATGATAGTTAAACTTGTGTCAAATCCAATAGCAGGTGTTCCATCACATCCTGTTACAAACTGCAAAACATATGCAAGTTCCATTTCACTGGTCTGAATCTCTTCTGTGTCAGGATCTAGGACATTTGAGGTCACTAAGCCTTGATCAACATCTTCCAGGTAATTTGAGAAGTTGAAGGCTATAGCTTCTTCACCTCTTCGTTTGTTTCTCCCCTGATCAGAAAAAATGCAATGAAACTGGTTGTCGACAATGTCAGCAGTTAGCCTCTCGTTATTATCATGCTGCAGTAACTTGTGATATTTGTCTGGATTGTTTCTAATCATATCCAAGATGCCATTTGTCATCAGTCCTTTAATAAAATGATCAATTTCAGACTGGGTTGATAAAATGAGCTGGTGAAGGCAGATACATCTGATAAATTCTTGCTTGTCTTCAAAAGCCACAATAGGCTTTGTATATCCTGCTTTGAACCTTAAAGGTGTATTAAAAGAAGCTTCTTGCTTGAACTTTACTGGGTCGCTGATGGCTTCCAGCCCTTCTAAAGTTGTTTTAACCTTTCCCACTTAGGAGGTCACAAACTGACACTTTCACGGCATCTAATTTACCATACAGTATGTAGTTTGCAACAGGGGCAGCAAACATTGATAGATAGATAGATAGACGTTTATTAAGAATACCTTAATAGCAGCTGGAAGCTGAATTACAAAGGTGTACAAATTATATAATAGAACTATACAATAAAATCAAACCTAAAAGGGAACTAATTTACATATGGGCCCATATACAATTGTAATAGATGTCAATTAAAATGTCTTGCGCTTGCTGGAATGAAAGTATCTCTGAACCGATTTGTTTTAAAGGAAACTCTAAATGGTCTGCGTCGTCGTAACTCCATAAGTTGATCTCGGTTGTCGAAAGGCAGTAAGTGGTACAAACAATCCAAGGGATTGGAGACGATGTTGTTAAAGAATTTTAAGCAAAGATCTTCTCTCCGATCCCTTAGGGTTTTCAGCTCTGCCATCTGAAGCACTTCTCTATAATGATTATCATAACCGTATATAATTTTCAAGGCTCTCTTTTGGACACGCTCTAAACTTAAGCTCAAATAATCGGGGAGACTATAATGGTAGACCTGACATCCATAAAGTAAGACGGATTGAATGCAAGCAACATAAAAATTCACTAATTCTGGTGATGGTACCTTAGCTCGCTTTAACTGAGTTAAAAAGTAAAGGCGCTTAGCGGCCTTTTTAATCGTCTCAGTAACGTGAGTGTTCCACTTGAGGTTGTCTTGAAAATACACACCCAGTAATTTCACGACACTAACGGCGCTAACCTTAGAGCCATTAATTTCTATGAGATCGTAGGAAGGAGGGGAGCGCACGAAGGAAACTCTTAGCTCATTACATTTTTTCGGATGAAGTTGAAACGAGTTAAGTGTTGACCAGGTAGCTACTTCGTTTATCATAGACTGAGCATTGCTAGGACCACCCTTGCTTATGATTTCATACACTGTCGTGTCATCTACATATTTTATACAATCACTGGCTGATGGTACTTTCAAATCATTTATCATAACCAAGAATAGCCACGGTCCCAATTTTGTTCCCTGCGGTACTCCTGCTCGGACCGATCCCCACTCTGAGAGACAATCATGTGCAAGTTTGACCCTTTGTTTCCTATCTTTAAGAAAGGCTATTATCCAATTAATGATGTAAGGGTTGATATTGTAGGTCGAGAGTTTCGATAGCAAGAGGCTGTGATCTATCAGATCGAAGGCTTTTCTATAGTCCAACGCAAAGATCCGCACGGTGTTCCCCGTTCCGTCTGTTGCTTGCGCCCAATTGTGCATCAGGTTTATCAATGCATGCGCAGTGGAGGATCCTGGAATACACCCAAATTGATCGGGTTCCAGGCGTTTCAGAAGTGCTGGTTTCACATGTTCATGGACGACGTAGTGCTCGGCAATTTTGGACAACGTTGGTGTCAGTGAAATAGGTCTCAAATCTTTCGCCGCATCCTCAACTATCTTTGTTTTGGGAAGAGGGGTGATGTTTGCACATTTCCAAATGTTCGGTAAAGTCCCTTGACTAATCGAGGAATTGATGATACAACGAAGAGGTTGAGCGAGCTCAGGAGCGAAGTCACGCAAGACCCAGTTTGGGATATTATCTGGGCCCCCAGCTTTGGAGGAGCTGACCGTACTAAGGCATTTGAAGGTAGCTTCCAGTGAAATAATGGGAGTTTTAAAACCCTCAGTGCTCACAGTTTCGATATTATCTAAAAGTGGGTCAAACGAAGCTTGAGGTTCTAGCAGAGCTGTGTTGATTTCATTAGCCAAGATCTTAAGGTTGATTGAGGTAGCTGGTTTAATTGCTAGGAGTTGATTTGCGACACTTGTAGATGTTTTGTTCATTCCACATAACCGCCTACATTCGGACCACCACATTTTAGGATTGTTTTCGGTCAAAACGCTGACTTTAGTGTTGTAATAAGAGCGTTTGCAGAGCTTCCGTTCCCTGTTTACTTTGTTCCGGTAGTAGTGGAACAATGGTTTGTTGTCTTGGTAATATGCCCTTTGACGGTGTGCTATAAGTGCCTTGAGTTTGGGTGAAATCCATGGTGCGTCGTTTCGGTGGAACTTAACTCGCTTTTTGGGAAGGATAGAATCTAACCCTATGTGAATTAGGTCACTGAAGTGAGCATACTGTTCTTGGACGCTATCTATAGTGTCGATTAATGACCAGTCGACCCCCGTCATATAACGACCAAAAGCCTGTTTGGACTCAGCGTTAACAGCACGTGTAGTAACCGTTCTGTTTGCAGGAATATTGGCCTTCGATCTAATTTTTGGAAACAAACCAACAGTACAATGATCGGATAGTCCGAAGGGCGGGAATGGAGAAGGTTTCTCGTAGTGTTCTGTAAGATTAGTTAGCACTTTGTCGAGTGTACGATCCCCTCTTGTTGGAAAATGGACGACTTGCGTGAGGCGGAACTGCTTAATAACTGGTGAAACATTTGCCCTGTTCCAGTCGCCAGCGAGAATTATACCTGCGCCAGGGATATCACTCTCTATCCTAGAGAGAGAATCCATCATGTAATCAAGGAGGGGCTCATCTTTGGCAGGCGGTGGAGGATGGTATACTGTACCAATGATAAGGCAGCTATAACCCCGGGGCAATCGGTTGGGCGTGATTTTGGCCCACAAAACCTCAGGGCCCTCGGGGTCAGGAAACTCATAGTCCCGTAGAATTGAGAATTTGATGGAATCTTTTACATATAGAGCCACACCCCCATGTAGCTTGTGGGTCCTATCTTTGCGTATGATGTTGTAGCCACTAATGTCAACTACGCTGTCATCAATAGAATCTTTCAGCCATGTCTCCGTTATACAACAAAGATCAAACTCGTGGGTGTTCAAAAAAATACGAAGTTCGTCTATTTTTGGTGCCAAACTCATTACATTAGACACAGCTATTGACGGTACGAACTGCAAGGTGTTTTTCCTGGCGTCGATGTTTCTCTTAGGCTTGATAATAGCCAGATTATTGAAATTGACGGCTCTTTCTTCTGAGTAACTACACGCGTAGTTACTCTCACGGGAATTGTTGAAAGTCTCGGTAAAGCGTGATTATTGAACCGTAAAGATTCATTCAAGATGGAAGAGTTATAGCAATTAACAGTTCTTGGTCTTGTGTAACTACTGGAGATGGCGCGTGTGGTTGTTCTCACGGGAATTACTGAAAGCCCCGGTAAGGTGTGATTGTTCGACTGTGAATAATTATTCAAGGTTGAAAATTCATTCGTTTCTGAAGAATATTTGCTTCGGCCTGTATTTAATTGTGTTTTAGTAAGTCTTCCGGACCGTTTCCCTCGGTACTTAAAAATTCCATCCGCTCGAATGTTCTTAAATAAAACTGACCGTCTCTCCTGAAGGCTGTAATTTTTCCGGAGCGACACCAGTTCGCGCCGAGAGTACTGTAGGGTCGTTGTTTGGCGAATTGGAGAATCAAGCTGCCGAATTAAATCTCGAGTGGCTCTCTGCCGGCTACCAATGGCGATAATAGATTGAGCAGGACCGGGGTTGGTCGAAATATCAACGTATACCGTGATGTCCAATGGAGGGTCGTGGCCAGGGATGACTAAGGAGACAAACCCGTGTTTAGTGTGCTTCTGCATTGGAACTCTTGATCGATGAAAACCATCTTTGACGATACAAGTGCATTTCTTCTTGAGTTGAACAGCAGTGTGCAGGGGTTCCCACCTTGATTTAAAAGTAGCCTCGAAGGATAATAAATGGTTTAGAAATGCAGCGCTTAAACAGGATAGAATAGTGATAGAAACTAGAGCTACTCTAAACGTGGCCGCCATGATTGGCGCCGATTACAAAAGGCCATGTGATCCTTGATATACTGATAGTTTCTTTCAGTGTCTCAAATCCAGAGTTTTGACTTTGGTATCCCGCAGCAAAACTGGATGAAACACTGGCACTACAAGGAGGACGGCTAGGATTGTTGCTACTCATGACACCGCTAACATTAGCATCACATTTATGTACAGTAGTACTACCTGACACAGATGAGGTGGTGATGGGGAGAGGACCTGACAAATCACTTAGTGTAGTTTTAGTATTTGAAGCCACAGAGTTGGTATGGGTGTACTTTGTAATTTTACTTTGTATGAGTTCACCCAGTTCTTGAAAATCCTTTTCACTATCACCCTCACTGTTACTACCATTAGAAATGACATCAACAAGGCCTTTTAAGGCATAATAAAGGTAATCTGAAGAACTACAAAGATACAATGTTAACCTGTTATAAGGCTTTCCCAGTTCAGCTTTGTATCCATGTAAACTAAATGCCTCATCAGATTCTTTCAGTCGTTTAACTTCAGTTCCATCTGGGTATAGCAGTTTGTGGGAATTCACAGAGCTGTAGAAATTTCATTTCCGTTATGTGGCGATTGCTTAGCCACAGCTAACTTTAGTACCTCCTCACTATCTGCTGTTTTAGGAAGCCTTATGGGAAGACTTTTTCCTCGCTGAGGCTTTAGCATACTTTCCTCCTCCACGTAACGCAGTATTCCTATGTTTATTGTCACTGGTTCGTCCTTTTTTATTCTTTAACTTCTTGTTCTTCCGCTTAAAATGAAACACCTGCTCATCTTTTTTCTTCTTCATGAAGGTATCCAACTTTGGAACAGGTTCTTTGGAAGATAAAACATCAGATGTGCTTAGATCAGCCTCCAAGCATCCAGTTCTGCTGCTATGACGTTCCATCGTTTCGCAGCTAGAAGAACGATCGTCAGAGTTCTGGGCCGTAGGATTACCACATTCTACGCAGAATTTAAAACAGGATTTTACCTCGCTACCGCAATGGCTGCAAAACATGTTATCGAAAATTTAATACCGAAAAGCACGATGAGTTTAGCTTGGTCACATGGTAAACAGTCGCCATGTTCGACGCAGAAAATCGAGGCTCTCTGATATTATAATAAAGTTCGGATATAACGCGCGCTGTCATTGGTTGAAAGAGCGTGCTCTATGAGAGTGTAGAGCATAGAGCTGAGCTAAAGCTGTCACCCCATCTGCCAAATTGTACTATGTTCGACCTTTTCCGGGACTTCTTTTTAGCTTTTTTCCGACAAATGAAAGTGAAATTTCGGAACACGCGAGCCGGCAAGTAGCAACAGACCTTTTCCGGGACTTCTTTTTAGCTTTTTCCCGACAAATGAAAGTGAAATTTCGGAACACGCGAGCCGGCAAGTAGCAACAGAAGAACTAAACAAAGGTTTGTAAACATACCAGGCGCCGTGGTTTACGTTATTAAAATGTGAGCAGATACGAAAATCCTCAAAGGAAAAACAAAATAGACGTTCCGAGTTTTAAATATTTTCACGCTCAGTTAGATTGCAAGCTTACTTACGTACGGTAATAAAAATCAAACACAGCTAACACTCGTATAGTATATAAAGTTCAGTGTTCAAAAGCAAAACAGAACAAAACAGAAATGATGAAAAATATTACCAAACTGGCATAACTGTTAAAATTCGTACTAATCATGATGGTGTCTGAGCAAATATGATCATGCAAAAGTCCATCGCGGCTCACTCATCATGGCGATCTCCGTTCATCACAGAAAAGTAAGCCTCAGAAACTACATCGGCCGCCCTTCGAGTGAAAAAATAAGAGGTTGCTCTGATATCCTTTCTGATGCGTTGAGTGGAAAGTCACATCAGTCACTGCAACCGAGTTTTGCGGCGCTGCCATCCCGAGCGATCTTCATGTTCCAGTGAATTCGGCTGTCGTTCATTCAAAAAATACTCCCCTTGAACAGTTTGTTTTCTACCTTGTCATGTGAAAAAACTCGCGTGTTTTATGAGCCATAATTCGGCTGAAGTTCACTGAACATTTCACTTAGAGATTTTGTATTAGAGACTTAAAAACTTCAGGCAAAAGTGTTAAATTCGACCTGCCGAACAATTTTAGTTTGTAAACTAACGCAAAATGTGAACTTTGATGGTTTGACATTTTTGACAGCTTCAGCCTTGCACAGCCAATTAGATTATTTGAACCATTCTAACAGGGATTCTGATTGGCTTGTTGTAGCGTGCTTTATGAGAGTATGGAGCATGCTGTCGACATTGTTGTTCGCTTTGGAAATGAAGTTTGTTTTGAAAATTGAAAGTAATGCTTAAGGACTTTAACGGATTATTTATTATAAATCAAATAGAGAAGCCTTGACTGTGCTCTGTTCTGTTATAAAATACTTAGGAAGCGGCTAGAGCACTCAAGAACTACGTCTCGTGTTTCTCCCTACACTTCTTTCGTGCTCTAGCTACTTCCTGCGTGCTTTATAACAGAACAGAGCGCAGTCAAGGCTTCTCTATTTGTTAAATCACGGCGCAAGTGCTCAGTCTTTTGGTTTGTGTTTCGGGAAAATTGGTTAGTGTTTTGAGAAGTTGTTTTGTGTTTCGGTAAACTGATTTGTGTTTCGGGAAATTGGTTTGTGTTTTGAGAAACTGTTTTGTGTTTCGGTAAATTGATTTGTGCTTTGAGAAATTGGTTTGTGTTTTTGAGAAATTGTTTTGTTTTGGTAAACTGATTTGTGTTTCTGGAAATTGGTTTGTGTTTTGAGACATTGTTTTTTGTTTTGTAAAAAAACATGTCTTCGTTTGTTTGCTACTAAATTGGCCGTTTTAAGCTTTATCGCACGTAAAACATTTTCTGCGTTTGTTTGCCGCTTTATTACACCCATTTTGACATCACTAGTGGTCCCTGTAATCTAATTGGCTCTAATTGGTGCGATTTATTCACGAATCACACCATTTTTTGCTTTAAATCGCATCTTTTTCCCAGCAAATGAGGAGGTTACGTTAAAAACAAAACAACCAATCAGATTTTAAGGCTTGTTTAAAGTAACCGATCAAATTGCAGGAAAATGAAAGACAAGGAGTATCATGTGGCAAATTTTGCAACTTTTGTTTCCAAAAACGTTACTTTTTTCCCCCAAAAAATGGACATGAATTTAATTTCAGACCGGCTCAGAACTGCATCAATAAAATATTTGAACTGACCAAGTCCTGTATTTGGGTGATTTAAAAATGGATGTAATAAAGTGGTAATTGAACCTCGTGTCGTGCAATTTTGGAAATTGAAATCTGAAATCATACTTATGATTTCAAATCACGCGTATGATTTCAGCCCAAATTGCACTCCACTCAGTGCAATTACAAATGAATTGAGCTGTTTTGTGACGATAGGTTTTCACTCGCTAACTGGGAAACTGAATCTTCGCGGACGGAACAATAACAACTTGGGGAAATAACTCGGTAAAGACCACTTGGCAGCGAGAACGGAAACTCGTCACGATTTCCTGGCACACGAAGATCTACTTCGAGCGAGCTTATACGGACGTCAAGGATAAGACAATCTTTGGTTCCACAGTACTTTTATTCTAGGTCAGGCCAACAAGTGACCTCTAGCGTACTCTAGTTTGTAATCATCAAAGCTGTACAAGGTACTTGCTTAAGAACTAACTGGTGTGAAGTGCTATTGTTATCCAAATCGCAATATTTGAATAAGGACACAAAGGAGCGGAAAAAAGTCTCTTTGAAGTCAAACGAAAACTACTTAAATATTCCATCTGTTTCTACGACGGAAAGAATCTCAAAATTAAAAAGACGGATGCAATAAACTCTAGGCCATTAAAAATAGGAAACTTAGGTGCGAATTTACAGCTCTGATATAGAAAACAATACCCATCTTAATTGCAGCAGCGCAGCTTAGGAAATAAAAACGGAAAAGCAAATAAAAGTTTCTGCTTATCTATGCAAGGTTGGTTTGGAAACCATCGCATGAAAAGAAATTAAATTTACGAGTATAAACTCAGCTGCTATCTACCATGAAAACCAATGTTTCCAGAAAGACCATTAACACTTATATTTACCTAAAAAAAACCA